CAGGAAGGCCCGAAAAGGCCAAAACCATTGATTACCCTAGAGTTTTTGAAGGATTGTGGCATTTGCTTTTTTTCTGCCTTCCGACGGCCCGAGACGGCCCAAGTGCCCCCAAAGATCGCCCAAGACGGCCCCAAGAGGCCCCCAAGACGGCCCAAGAGGCCTCCAAACCGCTCAAGATGGCCTCCAAGACGGCCCAAGAGCCCTCCAAGACGTCCTCCAAGAAGGCCCGAAAGGGTCAAAATGACCTCTAGACGGCCAAGATGACCTTCAAGATGCCCATGTGTTCCCCGAAGGCTTTCCAAGCCGATTCGGGGAACACATGATCCGATAGCTTGGCAGGTCTGGCCTCAACGTTCGGCCACATAGGCGCTTCCAAAAAGGCAGGGGGCGGCGGTGATTCGCCGTAGGCGTCTTCGATTCTTTTGGAAAAAGAACCAAAACCAAACCCGAGAGGGTCCAGCACGTCAGGCACCCCTGCGATGAATCGACAGGGGACGGAGGATCGAAGACGCCTACGGCGAATCACCGCCGCCCCCTGCCTTTTTGGAGACGCCGATGTGGCCGAAAGTTGGATTAGAGCTTGGCCAAGCTATCGGACCATGAGTTCCCCGAGTCGGTTTGGAAAGCTTTCGGGGAACACATGGGAGAGAATGATTATGAACAGGAAGAGGAAGAGGAAGAAATAGAGTAGGAGGATGAGGGTTGTTAGGAGTCTCTTGGGGCACCCTTGGGGTCTGTTGGGGGCTTCTTGGGGGCCTCTTCGAGGCCTCTTGGAGGCATCTTGGGGGCCTCCTTGGGCCTCTTGGGGGCCTTTGGGGGCTTCCTGGGGGTCTCTTTGGCCGTCTTAGGGCGTTCCTGGTCCGTCTGACGCCGTCTGGAGCCGTCTTGGGGGCCTCTCTGGGCCGTCTTGGGGCCCTCTTGGGGCGCTTCAGGGCCGTCTTGGAGGCCATGTTGGGCGTCTTGGAGGCCTCTTGGGCCGTCTTGGGGCGCTCTTGGGGCCGTCTTGGGGGGCCCTTGGGCCGTCATAGGGCCTTCTTGGAGGCCTCTTGGGCGATCTTGGGGGCCTCTTGGGCCGTCGGAAGGCCGAAAAGAAGAAAACGCAAAAAACCTTCAAAAACCTAAGGAAAACCAATGATTTTGGCCTCTTCGGGCTCTCCTGGAGAACGTCTTGGAGGCCTCTTGGGCCATCTTGGAGGCATCTTGGGGCCATCTTGGCCGTCTTGGAGGGCATCTTGGGCCGTCTTGGAGGCATCTTGGAGCCATCTTACCCGTCTTGGAGGCCATCTTGGCCGTCTTGGAGGCATCTTGGAGGCCATCTTGGGCCATCTTGGCCGTCTTGGAGGCCATCTTGGGCCAAGTTGGGGCAACAAAGGCATTGACAGATGGATTTTCGGAAACTTGCGGGTGGCCGGCGGGACGGGCCGAAGCCCACTGGGGAGTTCTTTTAGAAAAAGAACCAAAACCAAAACCTGAAACGTCCAGCACGCCGTGCACCCCTGTGGCAAGACCACAGGGGGCGGCGGATCGAAGACGCCTACGGCGAATCACCGCCGCCCCCTGCCTTTTTGGAAACGCCGATGTGGCCGAAAGTTGGACTAGAGCTTGGCCAAGCTATCGGACCATGAGTTCCCCGAGTCGGTTTGGAAAGCTTTCGGGGAACACATGGGAGAGAATGATTATGAACAGGAAGAGGAAGAGGAAGAAATAGAGTAGGAGGATGAGGGTTGTTAGGAGTCTCTTGGGGCACCCTTGGGGTCTGTTGGGGGCTTCTTGGGGGCCTCTTCGAGGCCTCTTGGAGGCATCTTGGGGGCCTCCTTGGGCCTCTTGGGGG